CTCATCCCAAGCATGCCAGCTCCTAAGAAGAAATAATTCAACTTTGTGAATCTATATTTATTCTATATATAAAAGTTCTGGTTCCACAGCAATTGTAGTGAGACCCTAGTCAGTGTTGCAGGTTTTGAACGGCATCTGAAAATTAGCAAGTTGAGCCCTAATTCCTCAGCTCAACGCGCAACTGGGGCTCGTTTGTAGAGATCGCAGCCACGGACTAGCAAATGGCATTCGATCGGTGATTTATGGTGTTTCGCGTTCTTCTTACGAAGCTAGTGCATAATTGGGATGACCCTCTTGTTGGTGTGTTGGCCAGTCTTCGGAGCTTCCACGGAGAGTTGTCCGTTGTTGTCGATCTGTGTGTGTACGGCATCCAGGTCGCAATCTTCAGAAAGAGCCCTCTGTGGACGAAGTTCCTGAACAGTAAATGGTGAAGCTATGGTTGAGAATGAACACACAGCATATTAACAGTTGTTAATTCTTGATGTAGCCATGTTCGGTCTTCACTTCTTGGTGGCCTTCGATGGTAAGATCACGTCCTTCCAATTGTACCTTCAGCTCCTCTGGTCTAAAGTGTGACACATCCAATGCGACAGCGAATTTCTTGTCATCATTGATGAGCTGAAAGAGAGAGATGTCTGATCGGAAGCTACGGATCAGTTCTGCGGTTAAGTCTCACCTCTTTGGTTTGATTTCCCACATGAAGCATGGAGTGATCGGCATCTCTCCAGTATGGCATGATCTGACGGCTCATCCAATCCATATCACGCATTGGACAGAAACGATCCAGACGCCTGAACGGCTCCTCCACCATGCGCTCGAAACGGTCCACGGGCCAGAGAGCCATGATGCTGATCACCTACACTGAATAATGTGATTACAGTAATGAAAGACGCGTACAATGGGGCACAGCACAGGAAGAAACCACACTAAATGTGACTTCTTGCACGAGATGGCTCCTATTTATTGGCCTGGGTAGGGGTTCTGGAAGGAAAGTTGGACGGGAAATCGTGATGATCTCCAATTCCTAACTTCTCACCAGCAAATACCTGGCGTAGATGTACAATATTCTCTTAAATGACCTTAGTGAACAGCTGCGCAAAACACGATTATATTACATATGTAAAGTTTTCAGCCTTACATACTTGTCACATTTGTGTGTGACAAACAGTATTTACGTCTAGTACGGGGTCAAAGATTGTAATCCAATTGGGGAACGCAACCTTAGATAGACTTCTTAGATCACAACTTTCTTGAGATGGCTTGTTAATCCAAAGTTAATTTCGTTGATAAACATTATGCTAGTTGGTGCCGCTTGCATGTTTTTCTTAAATTGATTCGACAGAACCCTTTAAAGACTAGGTTTTATGGAGAGATCTTCACTGGCTACCGACCGGTGTTCGTCCTCACTACTTTCATTCATCTCATACGCATTGACTAGAAAAGTGTTATGAATTGACTGTTCTATGAAATGAATAATACGTATTACAGTGATTTGAACAATGTACAGTGCTCTCCCCAAAAAGCTATCACTATAGATCCAGTGAAATTCGAAAAATTTCAGGCATATTCTCCTTAGAATATGCTAACTAGGAAGGACGTTACGATTATTGACAACACATTCCGCTCTACTCGTGTAGGCTGAATCAATCTAACCATTACATTTGTAACATTGATGAGATCCCTCTATTGTGTTTCGAAGGAGCAGCTCATTGAGAAGGGGGCACTTGTCCAAATGGCTCCGCCCATGTGATCAGCGAATACTATGCTGTGCCTGTTAACCGTAATGAACTCCGCCGCCACAAAATATTTTCCGCACTAGTCCCAAGTTGATCAGTCCAAGTAGATCAGTCAAACAACTACTGGAGACTCCTACATTATCTGATGGACAAAAGTCCCTTCCTCCCCACTCCTCTCATCCCTCACCAGGGTCAAGGATACGTCGTGGAATCGACCGTGGGTCATATTTGGCAGGGATCAGTACTGAGCAAAGTAGCGAAGAAAGTTGCAGGTTAAATGATGCTTTCGGAAAGAAAGTCGAATTCATGGGAGTGTTGATCAGCGCCTCTGTGCTGCAGTTCCTATTCACCACATGAGGAGGATGTGTACGGAAAGCTTACCGAGCTTTCTAGATGGAAATGTGGGCTCTATAGGGAAGGAGTGGGGGGAGGGAACCTCATACT